CTTGATTCACTAGTGACTAGACAGGGGGTTCTTGTTTGCTAATTCTTAGACATTCATGCCTCAGCCATGACAAGTTTCATTTTCACTCCCCTTACCCTCACCTATTCTACCAGTTTTAGAAAAATGCTAACCTCTACAAGCTTTTGATGTCAGGAAGTAGCAAAGAGGATTGGCGAAATCATAGCAAAGTCCTGCCTAGAAAAAGGGATCACAACTGTGGTCTTTGACAGTGGTGGATTTCCATATCATGGACGTGTAGAAGCTGTAGCTGATTCCGTCCGCGAGCATGGCCTTCAATTCTAGATTTTAGTAAATATTCATTCTTTCTTTTTGATCTGTTTGCCATTTTCTGACTGGAAAATTATAAGAATGCATCAATCTCTCTATTCTGAACATCATTTATGGTGACAAATCTTATTGCAATTCTTCCAATGGGTTGGTGTGGTTAAACTAAATCGAAAGAAACTTACAATTAAACTTCTTGTGTTGTGCACTTTCTTCGAATACTCAATGAATTATAAGTACAAATGTTTTTATCCATTTTATTCATACCTAGCATATGATGAGCAGAGCAAGGGACATCCTTATATCACTCTGGCCAATAGTAATTGAATTCACAGAATCCCGTTTGGCCATTTAAGCTGTACATGCCTTCTGCTGCTACCAGCCATGAACAGTTACTCTGGAAACGAGCGAAGTCCCTATCAAAGGAATATGCATCAAAATGGTACTCTACATTTTGCCACCCCATATCACAGTAAAACAGCGTGGTTCCAAGTTCCAACCACATTGACATAGAAATCCCAGCCAAACTCACTCTCATCTGCAACATTCTGCTGCCCGAGATCATTGTCTTTAGATTGGTAGTGTAAGGTCAAGTTTCTTCTATTTCCCAACCTGTTTTTGGTGCTTGCATGCACATTCTGCGAATGAACCCCAGTGCAGAAGCAGAAGAACAAAAGAACCATGAAACTTATTCCAAGACGAGATGAAGTGTGCATATTTCTTTCCTCTATACTCATAATTCTGATCTTCCTCTTCGTGCCTTTTGGCAATTTATGTGCTAGTGAACAAGATTATCATAGGACTTCCCGGTTTTTCTTATTTCTTTAATGCCTTCCTGCCATTTGTATTCTCACCAGCAAAGGGTAAAAACGTGTGTTTCTATTATATCTTATTACAGAAACTACGGAATGTTTTTCTTGAATTCATCAATTTTGCATAGATCATTTTCCTGTCCTTTCTTTCTTTTTCTTAAAAAAAAAAAAAAAAAAACTTCTTTATTGAGGTTTGAGGATTTGTAGTTTATAGCAATTAAGAATGTAAACTTCTTTATTAAGGATTTATAGTTTAACGATAAGTGTTATATAAATTCATTACTTAAATGAATAGTTATATAAGTTCGACCTCCCCTTAAATAAAAGCTTCATCCACCATCAAGTATTGGGAGCATTCTTCATAGTGACAGCTTAGGAATGCTGTTCCTCAGGTCTTAACTTTACTTAGCTTCTCATGTACCAAAAAAAAAAAAAAGAGAGCCTCATTTACCAATTCCCTTTCTATTTTTGGAGCTAGAAACAAGTGTTTATGATTATAGAAATTTTGAAGATCAGGACTTAGAAGATAACAAAATTAAACGTGGAAAGCATGATTCTTTTCCCCCTTTTTATGGCATTATTCAATTCAAAGGCTGTTTGCATCAACATTTGCCTGAGCGAGATGTTACAACCGTAGGAAGAATTTGTCCCCCACATACTAAATTTAGTGCTCATGCAACTTGTCATTCTTCTTTTCCGTGTCATCAACATCGGAAGTTGAGTTGGTGTGTTTCAATTTCCATAACAATCTCCAATCCTTCTACAATTAGCCTCTAACTTCACCTTTTTTACTGTTACTTCTCCCCCTATATAAATTTGAGTACATAAAGGCCTGCAGTTTCATAACTCAATATCATACTGCTCTCTCTTAGGGAAAACAACAATGGCAACCCCTAATGCCACCACGGCGCACCCAATTTGCCCTGCACCGATGAAAGCAACATCTAATGGCTCATTCCAAGGTGACAGTCCCCTTGACTACGCTCTTCCCTTGATCATCCTACAGATAATTCTGGTGGTCGCTTTAACAAGAACATTGGCATTCATTCTCCAACCTCTCAGGCAACCTCGAGTCATTGCAGAGATCATTGTATGTTTGATTTTCATTTCTCTTTTTCATTTTTTCTTTTTTTTTTTTCAGGGGATACATACTCATTTCATCTTAATACTACATTTGTTAATAAAATGTCATGTTATAATCACCGAATTAAGTTGTGAATTAAGACAAATTAACATCTTTAAAAACTTCTGGTGGTTAAGAGTTTGAATCTCAAATTTGAAAATTAAGACAAATTGACAGTGCAATCTTGCACATGACATGACTCGGAACTTGGAACTTTCAATATCTTAGTTTTAATTTGTTTGTGACATGGGATTATGCAGGGAGGAATACTGCTTGGACCGTCGGCGCTAGGGAGAAATCAGAAGTTTTTGCACACAGTTTTCCCAGCAAAGAGCATGACCGTCCTGGATACCCTCGCCAACATCGGCCTCCTCTTCTTCCTCTTCTTGGTGGGTCTCGAGCTCGACATCCGAGCAATTAATCGCACCGGAAAGAAGGCCTTGGGAATCGCTCTCGCGGGAATCAGCCTCCCTTTCGTGCTCGGAATTGGCACCTCATTCATTCTCAGGACCACAGTTAACAAAGGCGTTTCGCAAGGCACTTTCCTCGTCTTCATGGGCGTTGCCCTGTCTATCACTGCCTTCCCCGTTCTTGCCCGAATTCTCGCTGAACTCAAACTCCTCACCACAGACATCGGCCGCATAGCCATGTCAGCAGCAGCGGTAAACGACGTTGCTGCCTGGATTCTACTCGCACTAGCCATAGCTCTCACTGGAACCGATACTTCACCGCTTGTCTCCATATGGGTCCTCCTCTGTGGCGCTGCTTTTATCCTCTTTGCCATTTTTGTAATCCGACCGGCTCTCCAATTAATGGCTAGACGATCTCCTGAAGGTGAACCTGTGAAGGAAGTTTACATATGCATCACACTGTCATTAGTCTTAGCCGCCGGTTTTATCACTGACACAATTGGAATTCATGCCCTGTTCGGAGCTTTTGTGGTGGGTCTAATAATACCCAAAGATGGTCCTTTCGCCGGAGTTTTAATCGAGAAGATAGAAGATCTGGTATCGGGGCTTTTCCTCCCTCTTTACTTTGCATCAAGTGGCTTGAAAACCAATGTTGCAACAATAAAAGGAGGACAGTCATGGGCATTACTAGCACTAGTTATATTCAATGCCTGTTTTGGGAAGATTGTTGGCACATTGGGTGTGTCAATGTTGTTCAAGCTGCCTTTCAAGGAAGCCCTGACTCTAGGATTCCTCATGAACACAAAAGGCTTGGTTGAGCTCATAGTCCTTAACATTGGCAAAGATAGAAAGGTACAATCTTCTTTAAGTCATCTAATCATCCAATGGTTTGAACATGAGACTTCTAAATTTGATATTTAATCTAATTACACATAATAATTTAAGCATGAAACTTATAAAGTCAACAATTTTTTAGTAATTCAAACTACAAGATAGAAACTTTTAAAGACGGAAAGTTTTGTACTCATGTGCAGGTGCTAAATGACCAAAGTTTTGCAATTTTAGTGCTAATGGCATTGTTCACAACATTCATCACAACCCCAATAGTGATGGCAATATACAAGCCTGCTCGGAAGGGAGCAAATTACCACCATAGAACAATTCAACGGAAGGACATTGATTCGGAGCTCCGAATCCTAGCTTGCTTCCATAGTACTCGCAACATCCCAACCATGATCAATCTAATAGAATCGTCACGAGGAATCCGCAAACGGGGCAAGCTCTGTGTCTATTCCATGCACCTCATGGAGCTTTCCGAAAGATCTTCTGCCATTTCCATGGTTCACAAGGCCCGCAACGATGGCCTGCCCTTCTGGAACAAGAAACAGGGCCAAGACAAAATGGTTATTGCGTTTGAGGCGTATCAGCAACTCAGCAAAGTCACCGTCCGCCCCATGACCGCCATCTCCGCCTTCAACAGCATGCACGAAGATATATGCACCAGCGCGCACCAGAAGCGCACCGCCTTGATCATAATGCCATTCCACAAACACCAGCGCATGGATGGAACAATGGAGTCACTCGGACACGCATTCCATCTCCTGAACCAGAGAGTGCTCAGTTACGCGCCTTGCTCCGTGGCAATCCTCGTCGACCGTGGGTTAGGAGGCACCACGCAAGTCACTGCCAGTGAAGTGTCATACTCGGTGGTGATGCCTTTCTTTGGCGGTAGCGACGACCGCGAGGCGCTTGCTTACGGGATCAGGATGGCCGAGCATCCTGGAATCAAGTTGACCGTCCTCCGATTCAAGGCGGCCTCTGGGATGTCATTGACATTCGACGCAAAAGAGGATGAAAAAACCAAGAAAGGAGGAGACGATCAAGACGATGAAAATCATTCCAAGCTTTTCGCCACCGTGAAGAATGAAGAATCGATAACACACGAGGAAAAGGTGGTCGGAAACAGAGACGAAATTATCGCAGCATTGAAATCGATGAGCAAATGCAATTTATTCCTGGTGGGAAGAACATCTCCCACGGTGCAATTGGTAGACAGGACTGACTGTCCGGATTTAGGTCCCGTTGGAAGCTTCTTAGCGTTGTCTGAATTCTCGACTACTTCCTCTGTTTTGGTGGTGCAACAATACGACCCGTTGCTGAATCTCCACCCGCTGGTGGAGGAAATAGCGCAGGAAGACCCAAATGATGAGGAACCGGATACACTGGTTGCGGATGCTGTATGAAGAGAAAGAAGTTATGTGGGCAGATTTAGTGTTGTGATGGTTTGTTTGGATCAATGTCAGTGATTCAATGGGTTCTTTTACTCATGTGGGTGAAGAAATACCCTTAGTTTCTGGCTTGATTCGATAATTCTTAATTAAATTTGAGAACGAACAATGATTGCTTTCTGTTGTAGAAATTTTTGATGAGTTGATGGAGTTTAGGGGAAGATGTGGTGTAAAAGAAGAGGAACTGAAAGGGTAGATAGAGAATCTGCTATGTTTGGTCGGAAAGAAGTAAAGTCCTTGCCGAAGTAGAAGACCAAAATAAGGAATCAGTTGTTTTAATTTTTTTTTTTCAATTAAAGTTATTTTTTTATGAGTATGTTTAATTATAGTTATATGATCATTAATGATTAATTATTATTAAGTTAATTTCAATTAATTGTGTTATAATACTTTCAATTCAATAATTTAAAAGGAAATTGAGAAAAATTAAAGCGTGTAAACAATTAAAACATTTATTAAATAAAGAAATTGGGGCTAATTTGCTTTTTTGCCTTCATTTTTTTCTTGGTGGTTCCTAATTGTTCTCCCAACCTGTCCCTAACTTGAACTCACAACATTCACAACATTACATGATTCCCTCGTTTTTTTTTTCTTTTTATTTATATTGTCAAGGTAATTCTTAATTGACTACCTATCTACAGTGGATATAACTTTAATTTGTATTGTCGAAATGTCATCAAACTAACTTATAAGTAACTCAAAACTAATAGTTATATTACAATATTAAGAATGCACCAGGCACCCATAGATCATCAACTTAAATTTTTTATTTTTTCTTACATAGATCATCAACTTAAAGTTGAATCAACTACACATTCACTAGCAATCCATAATTCAAGTAATGAAAGGTCAACTTCAAACAAAAAAATAAAAA